TGTGTTCGATCTGTATGCTGTAAGTAAGCTAGTTAAGGAATAGAAATACAAGAATAGATAGCTGCAAGTTTCTGTTAAACTCTTCAGCTGCTCATGAATAACAAATAGTCCTATGAAAATTGAATTACATTAGTGGAGAATGAGAATGACATATTGTAACTGTATTCTTTTTTTTCATTTAAAGGGGCAGTTGTTAATGAACTTGAGGAAGAAGATATAAGGTTAGCAGGACTAGATGCTGTGGATCGCCAAGATGAAGACGTTATATACATGGAAAGGTCAACAAATTCTGATTGCAATGTTGAAATATGGAATTTATCTGAAGAAGAAGTAGAGCTCGATTTTGATGGTGAACAAGATCCAAGGTTAACTGTTCCTTTTCATGATGTCAGAGAGGAAAAGTCTCAATGCATTGTCAAATGGATAATGATTTTTCTATGCGTTTGGTCTTCATACTGCTGCATTTCAGATTATGCTCTAGATGTTCTCATCAACTTTATTTATGCTGTCTTCAAATCATTTGGTACAGTCTTTCCAACATGGCTGGCTTAACCCTAATATTTCCAAAATCTTTAAATTTGCTTAAAAAGAAACTTGGCTTGAACAGAGATAATTTTACAAAATATGTAGTTTGTACTAAATGTGAAACTCTATACAAGTTTGATGACTGTCATAAGGAGTGGTTAGGTCGAACAGTAATTAAAAACTGCTCATTTGTTAGCCAAGAGAACCATCGACAGCTGTTTAGAAGAACCTCTTGTGGCCAGCCTCTGCTAAAGGAAGTAGTTCTCAAAAATGGCAAAAAAAGACTTTATCCCTTCAAAGTTTATTGTTATAACAGCATCATTGAAAACTTGAAAAGACTGATAAATAAACCRAACTTCCTGGCTAACTGTGAGTTATGGAGGAAAAGAAACATGCCTCAGAGTTTTCTGGCAGATATCTTCGATGGGAGAGTTTGGAAAGACTTTATGTATATTGAAGGAAAAYCCTTTTTAGCATCTCCACGTAACTACGCATTTMTGCTGAATGTTGATTGGTTTCAGCCTTTTAAGCATTCACTTTATAGTGTGGGTGCATTRTACATGGTACTTATGAACTTACCAAGAGAACTCAGATTTAAACCAGAAAATGTTATCTTAGTGGGCATAATACCTGGACCACATGAGCCAAAGTTGACCATCAACAGCTACCTCAAACCCCTTGTTGAAGAACTTAMYTTGCTTTGGCAAGGAGTGCAAGTAAAGATAGAAAACAATGATCTAATGACATTCCGTGCTGCATTGTTGTGTGTAGGATGTGATGTTCCTGCAGCGAGAAAGGTTTGTGGGTTTACAGGGCATGGATCTTGCCATGGTTGCTCAAAGTGTAAAAAGGTTTTTAGTGGCAATGTGTCAGAAAGAATGGATTTTTCAGGTTTTGAACCCTGTCCATCCAGAACCAATGAGGAACATCGCCAACAGGCCGAAGATATTCTCAGGCAGACATCACAAACAGATAAAAACATTAAGGAACAACAATATGGAACTCGATTTACAGAACTCATGATGCTGCCATATTTTGATTGTGTAAGGTTTCATATTATTGATCCCATGCACAATCTTTTTACAGGTAGTGCAAAGCACATAATGAGAAATATTTGGCTAGAAAGCTCTTCACCTTTAATAGAGAAAAAAAATCTTGAACAAATCCAAAAAAGAATTGA